CGATTCTGAAATGCACCCGTGCCATCGCAAGCATCGACCACGCACGCTGTGTTCCGATGTCGTGTTACCATAATCTCCACATCCTCAGGCTGGCACAGCTGCTGGACCGTGTCGTCGAGGTGGTGGTGCGTGACGCTGGCGAATGCGTTCGTCATGTCGTGCTTGGTCGTGATGTGGCTCAGGCCTGCTGCACCGAGTCGCCATTGCAACACATTGCCCACGGTCAACGCACCCACTCGTGACCGCCCTCTCACATTGCCATGATCCTCTGGTGGTGGAGCCAGTCCAGTCCTAGGCTGTCTCGCCCCCACCCATGCCTTGCCGAAACTGCAGAGCCCGTGTAGTAGACGTGTCCCCCTCGTCCGTGGTTTGTGATTCAGCTTGCTTACCTGATACGTTTGCGAGAGGTTCCACCAGGCGTTGAGTCGATTATGTTGTCGTACTCCCGCTAGTTGTGCCAGAAGACACTCCTGTAGGTAAGCACCCGCCACAGCTGGTTGGTCGTTGGTGGTGCGTCGGGGCGCGCGGCAGGTGAGAAGAGCGCTCCAGACCTCCATCGGTAGTGACCACGGTGGTGCTGCTCGTCGGCGTCGACCGTGGTATAACTTCGCAATTGCTCCATCCAGATCACGGTTGGCCTGCTCCCAATGCTTCATTTCGGGGTAGAATGGATAGTCGTGGGCGGACGCTGCACCAATAAACTCCCCCGCCGTAGTAGCAATGGCCTCCATCCCACCCCCCCGCCCACTCAGTGCCAAGTCCTCCGTCCACGTTTGGAGGTCGGGCCTGGCATCAGGTAGTATGTAGTGATTCCGCTTCCGTGGTCCCAGTCCATTGCCCGCCATCTGAAAACTGATCCTCCAGGCCAGATCTTCCCGGTTACCTCGTAGTGCCTCCTCCAGTTCGCGATTCAGCTCACTCTGTCGTTCCCTCTTGATGGTCATCCTTGCTTGCTTGCACCGTCGCGTACACTGTCGCAGTCGTCGGATGCTGTCCAGGTCGCCGTCGAGCTTGTCACGTGCTCTGGTGCGAGCCCTCAGCGCAGCCTCCCTTTCTCTCGCCATCTCTACGTACCACTGCGGCCGATGTCGTCGTGTAGTGCTGTACCGTGCTTGGGCCACCGCGCGGATCGTCGCCACCACCTTCTCCCAGGCTGTCTCGAGCGTGTGAGCGCGCATCCAGGCGTCCACCTCCAGGTACCCGTCTTCGTGTAATTGCTGCGCGAGTGCCCCCTCCACCTCCTCGCGGAACTGGAGTGCCTCCTCCTCGTCATTCATCGCACGTCCCAGTGAGAGGTAGTCCCAGTGTGCGCCGTGGTTGGCAGGCGCACTGTACGTGAGCTAATAGTCCAGCTCCGCAACAATAATCATGTGATCCAGCACCGCCACACTAGGGATCGCACGTACCCGTCTTGTGAGGGAGTGCGCGCCAGCACAGCGCTTCACACGGCACATCCAAGGAGCGGAGATCACCATGTGATCTATATAGCTGCAGCTGCGGTGACCGTAGTACGTCGGGCCACATGGATACCAGCTCGTAATCGCTGCCAGGTTGTGCTGCTCCATCCAGTCGCGGTAGTGGGTGCCCGCCTGGTGCTCTATGCTGCGTCCGTAGGGTCCCAAACACTCACTGTCCAATGCCTGCTGTATGCCGTCAACACTCCGTATACCCAAGCCATCATTTAGATCCGTCGCCGCAATCATCGTGGATCGATTCGGGGTCCCCGCAGCAATCTGTTGTAACTGTTCGACCAGCTTCCTGACCGTCGCCTCATACTTCGGAATACTCTTGGCGTCTGTACACCTCGGGGGGAAATAGCTGACCACAAAAGTGAAACCGGGTTGGCTTGATATCACTCGTACCGCACCCAGTCGTCCTTGCAGCCCGTGGGGGACTGCCCAGAAGTGTACCAGCTGTGCCCGTCGAAATCGTCTCCTATTCAGCCATATCTCCACTCCGCAAGATTTGTTGACCATCGCTCCTCGTGGGCCCTGCCATCCAAACTTGATCATAATGAACTGTTCGTGGAGGGAAACGTCGTGGTACGTGGGTGCATCGCGCTGTTTCTTCACCGTAGTACCTGCAAGCAGCACCACATCAGCGAAGCGTAGCTGTTGTGCCACCTCGAGTCTCCTGTCATAGTCGCTCAGAGAGAGGGCTCCATTGCGCAATCTTCATACGGGTGGTCGCACATCGCAGCACCGATGTGAGGCAGAAAATGAGGGTTGCGGAACTGGCCCTCATGCCCTGGGACCTCGGACCAGGGCTTGATGAGGATGATGATGATGATGAGTAGTGACGACGGTGATGGTGGTTGATGGTGATGGTGAAGGTAATGATGATGAGTGTGTGCGTATGATGACGATGATGGTGGTTGATGGTGATGATGATGGTGATGATGGTGAGTGTGTGTGTGAGAGAGAGAGAGAGGAAAGGGGGTGTGTGAGAACATGCGCGGCGTGCGCAGAGGAAAAAAAAAACATCTTGGATGTGGGGAAAAACACGAGGTGCAACGAGAAGCGTGAGAAAAGAGCAGGTGGCTGGGATGCCGGGCGACACGGCCGCGCCCCGTCCTGCCCTGTAGGCCCACTGGCAAGCCAGGCCAGGTTAGCGAGAAGCGCAGGGTCACCCGCCGATGGGGCATGGCAGAGACAGAAACAAAGCGAGCGAAGAGAGAGGCAGAGAAAGAGAGATGGCTAGGATGTCCTCCGACACCAGTCGTGCCCGTCGGGAAAGACACCCCCGGACTGCCCCTGGGCAAAGGGAAACGCGGGCCTGAACGGCCGAGCGTCCGAACGCAAACACGCAGACAAACGCCCTTCAAAAACACACACATACACACACGCACGCAAACACACACACACACACACACACACACACACACACACACACGCGCGCGCACGCACACACATACACACACATTTGGCGTCGCGGCCCCGCGCGCGGCGACGGGGCGTAAAAAGTTGAGTACAGGCAGCGGAGCGCGTCTACGCCTGGCCGAGCTCGACACACGCACACACAAACACACACACACACACGCATACACACATACACTCATACAGACATACGCACGCACACAGCGCAGTTCGAACGCCACTGGTTGTAAAACATTGCCCGCTGCTAGCGACTCGGTCGCCAGAACACGCAGGCAAACGAACAAATAGACGCACGCCTGCCCACTGCAGCGGCCAAACACAGGGTGGTCCTCCACTGACGGGATGCGTCGGGTTGGACTGCAATCGAAGGCGTGTCGGCCGTGCCCAGTCGCACTTTTGGCGGCCTCGGCCTCGCGCGCCGCGACGAGGCGGAGCACGTAGAGCCGTCGGCACCGAACTGGCGTGCGCGGCCTGGCCCTCGGACGCGGGACCGCATTGGATCGACCACATACATCCACGCAGATATGAAGGGCCCCCAGGACACACACATAAATACACACAGATAAAACGATTCCCCATATTTTCGCATATTTTCTCGTTTTTTTTTGTCTTCCCCACCACTTCCCATATTTTCTTATATTTTCCTGGGAGTCGACGATTAATTGTGTCTGTGTGTTTTTTTCCCTCCTGAAGATAGGATGGGGAGTACGAGAATTGAGACAGCGTCCGCAGACGGAGACGGCAGCCACACACAAACACACACACACACACAAACACATGTTCTAGAAAGGGCCTGAGTGACGCGCGTGCGAATCCGAACTGGGTGCAACGACGGAGAGGAATAAGGGGTTTATGGGCTGAGGAAGCGTGTGCGCTCTCACGGAGGCACCGAAGTCCAAGACAAGCAAACACACACACACACACAGAAACAAACACATCACACACGCACGCACACTCACACGCGCACACATGCACGCACGCACGCACGCACACACACACACACACATCGTCGTCCTCTTCCTCGTGTTTCACACACTCCATCTGCCACTCCGCCTTGCTCCTTCTTCTGATGCTCCAGCTTACCACAATTGTCTCCTCATCTTCCTAATCCTCGGGCAACTTAGTCCCTTCATCTTTGACCTCCGCGTCCCACTTCGCCTCACAATCCGCCATCCTCCATTCCGTCCTCTTCAGCCTCATGATGTTGGTCCTCATCCTGCTGCTGCTGCTGCTCCTCATCCCTGCCCTCCTCCGCTCTCTCCTCCTTCGCATCCTTGTCTGAATGTTCCTCATCATCTTCTCTCCCCCCCATTGCTTGTGTCCGCCCACCTGCCCCTACCAGTATTCCTGTTCTTCCTTCTCCTCCTCGCCCCTCCTGAAACTCCCCCTCCCCTGATCCTCTTCGTCCTCCTCGTCCTCCTCTGGACTCTTCCTCCACCACATCGTTCTCGCCCCCTCCTCCTCCGCATCCCCCTCATCATCATCTCCCCCATCCTTCTTGCGCAGGGAGGGGACGAGATCCCGAACACCGACGCCCAACGTGAGGAAAGGAAACCCACATAGGTGGGCACAGTGCTGAAGACCACCAGCCGCGCGCCCGGCACAGGAATACCATTTGATCCATGTGCTACACGTGGACGTTTTTTCTGTTGTTCTCTCTCTCTCTCTCTCTCTCTCTTTCAACGCATGCTCCTCATCGTGCTGATCTTCCTCATCCTCCTCATCTTCCTCCACTGCATCCTCTTCCTCCTCGTCCTACTCCAATTCCTCATCCTTCTCCTCCTCAACTCCCTCCTTCTCCTCCTCCTCCTCCTCCTCCGGCTCCTCCACCTCGACTTCCCACGCCTCGTGTGCGCAGCGATGCTGCAACTCGCAACGGGGTTCGTCCGCTACGGGCCTCACCGCGTCGACGGAACCTACAGGCAGCGGCGCCGCGGCGCTGCTTGCCAAGACGGGGCTCTGGGCTCGCCTCGCCCGAGTCGCCCTTCACAACGAGAACAACGATGACAACGACCACATCGATAACAGCTATAACAAATACAACGATCGCAGCAGTAACAACGATAACATTAATATAACAACGATTGCAACGATCAACGATAACGGTTAGACCAACGGGCCCGCCTCGTCCGAGTGGCCGTTCAGGGTCTCGAGGCACTGGCCGGAATTTACCTCCCACAGCTTGCATGAGCGGTCGATGCTGCCTCGAAGGCGCACCCGGGAGGCGCGGGCCGAGAGGGGCCGGAGGGAGGGGTGGCGAGAGACCCAGAGGCGAGGGAGGAGGAGGAGAAAAAGGGCGAGGAAGAGGAGGGGGAGGAACTCGGGGTCAAGAAGAGAGTCTAGGGACGGATTCTAATAGTGAGGGCCAGCCCCGCGAGAGACAACCGTGCCACCCCAGGACGAGAGTCGAAGCCAACGCATGACATTGCAGGTGCTCTCCTCGAAACATCAAGGGAACGAGGGAGGCCCTCGACCGGTGGAAGGCAAGGGAGAGGAGGAGCAACAGGCTGCGACTGGTAATGCACCATCTGAGCCGCGACCATCACCAACACCACCGCGCGCCTCCCAGGGCGGAAACGTCAGCGGCGACTCTGGCTTGTCCAAGGCCATATGGCCACCTCGTTCTGCTCCTCCATGGCCACGGCCTCCACCTCCTCATCATGATCATCCTCATCCTTCTCATCAAATTCATTTGCCATGGCCGTCATTTCCTCCTGCTCCTCCGCCGCGTCGGCGGAAAAGTCGATGGCCGCTGCCGCGCGTTGGCCCTGTCTGTGTGGTGCAAGCGATGTGGCCACCCAGCACGAGGTCGGCCCACGAGGCGCCCAGGGGCGCCCACGGGCAGGCACCAGGCGAAACCTCGGCTGACCCACCCAACGCACGAGGCGCCCACGAGGTTCTCTTCGGCGGTCACCAGGGGGAACCTCGGCACACCCATCCAGAGCACGAGGCTCCCATGCGGCGCCCACGGAGGGGCACCAGACGAAACCTCGGCTGACTCATCCAATTCCTGAAGAAATATTAGTGAGTACAAGCAGCGGTTGAGGGACATGTGCGCTGACATATGATTCAATGTTAGCCACCGTGGGCCCCATGCAGTAAGTCATTGCGTTGGAACGGTGGGAGCTATATTTTGAACGTTGAGAACTGCAACCTATATTATAAGACTGGTTTTGCGGCGTGCTCCAGGCGGTCTAAGTTACGTGGTGACAGATGTGGTGCACGCTATGTTGTGTAATGATTGCGGTGTGCGTTGGCCAGTGCAAGCTGCGATGTGCAACATCTTTGATGATATGCCAGTTTTGCGGAAGCACGCACACGTGTATATATATATATAGATACATACACATTTGTATGCATTTACACGAATAAAAATTACTGCATATGAACAACGTCATGTATGAAATGTAAACTGCGTTGTGTAAGATATGTGGTGTGGGCCATGTGGTGTGAGCTCTGCGTCGCCAGCAACATACCCGGAACACATTACAACAATATCATCAAAACGATCATCGTGAATGATTTGCAGACGGCAGCGCCCGAATAACATCATTCCGTGAGGTTCGCCATTCAATGTTGGCAGTGTGCGCGGGCGTGCACCGTGGGCCAGGTCATTGACGCGCCGCATTTTGGTTTCACGTCCAGTGGCAACATTGGGAGGCGGAGACCACTTAATGCCCGGGTGCTCTTTCAAGCTAATCCTTCACAAGGCCGCTAGCGTGGGTGGTTCCACGTTCTGCTTTGCGGCTTCGTTCCCACCAATCGGATGGCTAACATGCAACGCGCAATGCAGACGATACGCTTTTCCGAAACATTGACAGGCTGATGCCACTTGGTGCGACGGCTTTCGCCTGGTTTGGTTCAAGATAGTTTCGGCTTCCATCCCTGTGCCACTTTTGTTATAAACTTTGTTCACGGGGATGGGTAACTCTACCTAAATATTGGGTTTCCGCGCGGATTCCTCTCGTCTTTTAGCGTGCCGCCCTGTGGGTATTGTGGGACGTGTGAAACTTGTGCCCCTGTGGGACTTGTGCGACTTGTGGGACCTGCGAGACATGCGGGACCTGGGCGACTTGCGGGATCGGTTGGTTTTGCGGAACCTGTGCGACCTATGCGACATGCGAGACTTGTGGGAGCTGAGGGGCCTGTAAGACCTGTGAAACATGTGCCAAACGTCGGCCTTGTTAGGACCTGCGAGAGACCCGCGGGCTTCGCGGGACCTGTAGGGCTTGTGGGACCCGTGGGGCCTGTGCGACCTGCGGCACCTTGGGAGTTGTGGGACCTGTGGGACCTGCGAAACTGTAAACCTGTGGTACCTGCGAGACCTGCAGGGCCTGTGAGACTTGTGCGACCTGTGATGCTTGGGGGAACCGTGGGACCGACGAGACCTGTTAGACCTGCGAGGCGGTGTCCTACGAACCGCGCTGACGATCCGGCGCGGGGGCGGGGGGGGGCAGGTTCTATTATGCGAATTCACACGCGACACGGGGCGCAGTTTAGGTTGCCCGGCAGCCCCACTTGATGATGGGGCGGGCGCGGGCTTAGTGCGTAAGTTCATACACGGAGCGCACTTCGCGTAAAGCGGCGTGCAAAGGCGCGCCCACTCTACGATTTGTCCAGCGTTTTGTCCGCGAGAAATAAGACGCGGATGCCATCTAAAGTTTTTCTTAAAAAATGTTAGCATGAGAAATAATCCCCGACTGAAGCATTCAAACAATTCCACATTGCGATCGATGCTTCCCGTCGAAATTTCTTACACACGAAACGCGGGAGAACCAGATCGTAATGTGGGCACGCTGGGGCACGCCACTTTGCGCGAAGTGCGCCCCGCGTGTGATTTTACGCGCTGAACCTGCCACCGCCCGATCGTTGAGCGGAGTCCCTGGGCAAGAAGCGCCCCCCCGTATATGAATTTACACCGTGAACCCGAACCCGCCCGCGTCCCATCGGTAAATAGCTTCGCCGGACATCGAAAAGTTGCCGCCATGGGCAGATCTTCAGAGTGAGCCCGCGCCCGGCCAATAGGGAGTTGCGTCCGACAACGAAGGGCGGGCCCTGGGCCCCAGGCCCAGAACGCAGCCGTCATTGCCAGAAACGGCGGGCGACGACGACCACGGCGACGTCGACGACGACGTCGATGACGACCGCGACGACGGCGACGACGTCGACGACGACCACGACGACGACGGTGACAACCACGTCGACCACGACGAAGACGACGCGCGTTCTCGCAACATCGCCGGCCACCGCTCAGCTCTCGCTCCTCCGCCGAAGCATCATCAGCACCCTCGCTCTCCTCTTCCTTCTAATCCTCCTGCCCCCCCCCCCTCGTTTCCCCCGTCTTTCGCATCTTCGCGTTCTTTTCCCTCGCGTTCCCACCCTGGAACCCCAGGGGCGCCGCGACAGACCGCGGCAGCCGCCCAGGTACCATTTGATGCATCAGGGGCCGGGCGCTTCCCATTCCATCTGCCCGAGCGGCAGAGGTTGCCGACGCTGTAAGGCCATTGCCGCCGGAACGATTGGAGCACGCCCAAACAGGTTCGACATCCACGCAGTCGGAAGAAAAGTAATAACACAAATCAACAAAACGATCATCGCGAATGATTTGCAGACGGCAACGCCCGAAGAGGATCATTCAGCGAAATTCGCCATTCAATGTCGGCAGCGCGCGCGGGCGTGCACCATGGGCCAGGCCATTGACGCGCCGCATTTTGGCTTGCGCGTCCAGTGGCAGCCAGCATTGGGAAGCGGGCGCCACTTAATGCCCCGTTGCTCTTCCAAATCAATCCTCCGCGGGGCCGCTGGCGCGGGTGGTTCCACGTTCTGCCTTGTGGTTTCGCCCCCACTAATCGCCAATCGGATGGCTAGAATGCAGCGCGCAATGCGTGCGAGACGGATGGACATGCGGTCAGAATCACATATGATCTACATGCCCGAAAAGGGGGCCGATAACGCCGGGGGGGGGTAGAGTCTTTTCTTTGTTAGGAAAAAGAATTCATGTTTGCCCATGTCGGGCGGGCGCGGTATTGAAGGCAACGCCGACAACGGTAGACGCGATCACGACAGCGACGATGCTGGCGACGATGGTCGCACCGACGAAGGCGCGGCCAGCGCGGGCGCCGATGTTGGTCGCGCCGGCGACGAGGACGGCATCCTCGCGTCGGTGATGAAGGTTTTGGAAAAGTTCGACATGCGCGCGTGGCCGACGCGCGAGATTGGCCCGCATAGAATTATTCGACACGGATCGTGCCACCCCCAGCACGCGCGCGAGGGCGCGCGAATGATGTCGGCCTGTGGCGCCAGAGGCCCGCTTGGCAGAATTCAATGAAAATGTTGAAACACCAATGGTCTCCATAAGAATTCGCAAGAACGGGCGCGAATTTGTTTGTTTGAAAACTGATGTTAGGAAACCTTGTGCGTTTGACTATTGTTTTGACATTCGGCTTTGAACTCGCTGCGGAAGCGGAAGTTGTTGAAGGATTTCGACACGTGCGCGCGACGACGCGCGCGCGTGCACTTCGTCTGATTTTTTGTTGCCAGGGTTCTTGGCAACTGATCGTTTCGACGAGCGCGCGCCATATTTTGGCGCGCGAGATGGCGGAGGGGGTCGGGACAGAGCTAGGCTGGGATGGTGTGAGTTCATATTCAGGATGGGCGATGGGGCAGAATCACGCGCAAATTGCAGCGCCAAAAGGTGGACCGATAAAGCCAGGGGGGGGGCCTAATTTTTCAAAGGAATGAAATTTGACTGCCCCGCGCCGCGTTTGACCACCTCCACTGCTCGCGCAATCGTCCCACCCGCCCACCCGCAACTTGGTTTGCAAGACCCACGCGGTGGCGATTGCGACGAGTGCCCGACGTTGGCTGGTCCACGTCTGCGGCCGCGCTGACCCAAGCCCGCGCGCGCAGCGGCCACCCTGTTTGGCGCGACAGACGCGGCCGCGGCAGCGCTGACCGCCGGGCGCGTCCCAGCGGACACTTCAGTGCGAGCCGGCGACTTGGGCGGGCGTGGTATCATGGCAACGTCGACAACAGTAGACACGATAATGCTATTAGCGATGCTGGTGACGATGCTGAGAGCGACGACGGCGCGGCCAGTGCGGGCGCCACGGCTGATCGCGCCGACGATGATGACGGCGCCCTCGCGTCGGCGATAAGAGTCCCGGGAAGAGATCGACAGGCGCGCGCGGCCGACGCGCGACAG